TTAGTTATTAAAGTGTGTAGTAAAATAGACACAAAAGAAAACAATGCAATTAGATCGTACTAAAGTGTATTAGTGTAATACATCTATACTTTTGCACGTTTTCGAATTCATTCAACTAAAGACCTATAAAATGTTTTCATGGCTTAACTAAGTGTATATGCAGTATTTGCATCAATTACCGAAGCCTAAAAATTGGATGTATATACTCTTAAACATTTCAAAAAATGTTATTAAAGGCATTCTGTTGGTCTGTTCTTRTCACGTTGATTTGTGTGTTTATGTTATTCGACTGATTTAAGTTCTTATTTTGTGGCATTGTTAAAATTGAGGGAGTGTTAATTCGTCTGTGTCATTTAGATCTGAACTAAAAAGAGTATACACATTATTCCAAAATGGCTGACTAGCCCTTGATGTCTCGTTTTCATAAAATTATTCTTTTGTTTTTGAGCTTGAGTGACTTTACAAGAAAAGAACAATTTCATGAAAACGAGAAATCAAGGGCTAGTCAGCCATTTTGGAATAAGGTGTATATATATAAATTTTCTATTATCGGCCGGAGGTGAAGTGATTTTTTATCTGCGAATTTTGTGGTGAATATTCATAAAGACGAAGCAAAGKTGCGCATGTGCAGTGATTTCTTGGAATAGGGGAGGAGTGGAAGAGTTGGGGATTGGGCTACAAAGCCAAGAAATGAAAACATTTCTGTTTGTCAGTTTCAAGAAGGCGATTGTCTGCTAAACTGCACACGTCGTGTTGTKGATTCACAGCCAACAAACCTTTGGACTATTGGCCATTTCGACGTTGCGCAGGGGACTGGGCACTAATCAAAGAAATATTGATCTCTTCACGAAACAAACCCCACCAGTTGAAAGGACACCCAAAAATTAGTATATATACCAAGTTTCAAAACGTTTGGATAAAAACTAGCTGAACAGTATTTATTTCTAGTTTCATCAAATTAACAGAGAATGTATTGTTTTGGGGGACGCGGTCAAAATCCCCATACATTCTCTGTAAATTGCACGGCTTCTCATTAATTGAATATTTGTCCAAATGATCTGTAACTTGTAACCTACACTAAAGTCGATAAAGTCTATTTAGTGATATGGTTAGTTTTTCGATTGGCTCAATATGACAGAAATTACAAATCATTTTATAACATAAAAATGGCTAATTCAAAGATGTGTTTCCCTCGTCTTAAATACAGATTTCGGAAATTCTGGATACATCCGATAAAAGTTTAAAGGGAACGCGTATTCAACATTACCATTTTCCAGTTATACGAAATTAACTTTATCCGTTAGTGCTTGTACTCTGCAACAGAAATCTTTCAGACTTTTGATTTCGATATGGTGTGCAACACGAACTCGACGTCATTCCCATTTTCCAAGTCATTCAACTTCTTCGCTAAAGAAGTTTTTGAAACTTTCGATGCGATTTCAATGACATTGTAAACAATTGTCCATTCCAAAATTCGATTATTATTTGAAGCAATTAACAAAAAACAGATACCAGTACAAGAAAGGGAACACTAARATTAGTATACTATATTACTGAGTTTGAGCGTATTCGGATTAATAATTATAAAGTTGCGAGCGTTAAACTCGAAAAAAATTTCAAAGAATGTATGGAACTCTTGAGCAGCGTCCCCCAAAWACTTCATTCTCTCTCTTACAAATTTAAAACAAATTTCTTCTCGGTGAGTATTCAACTAAATTGTCTCAAACTAGACAAGAACACTAATAATTGTGGTGTGGTCTTTCATGTGTTGAGATTCAGTTTTCGATGGACTATTTTCACACTCGTTCCCGGTCTCCTTTTGAATTTCGGAATTTCCAATAAGAACCCATTTCGACTCCCTGAGTGAATGCGATTATTTACTAGCAAACAGCAATGAAATTTTGYATTTCATTGATATTTTGTATTTTGATGATTTTAATGATGTCTTTGATTTTTTAATTTACATTTGGAAAATGACAATGTTATGTTCGTCAATTAGATGTTGGGGAAAACTACGGTACGAGTACCATGTCATGTATGCTGTATATTTTCAATAAATTAAAAACTTTTTTACTGACAAAAAAAGAAAATCTTTTTGACAGCTTGATTACATAAGTACAATTCTTCAAAAAAAATGGTGTCCGTAAGAAAGGCAGAAAAAAGACAAACAGCCCGATTGCAGAACCAAAAAGAATTATAGAAATTGCAAACAAGAGGTGAAACGGACCGCGGATTGATACATTCTCGTACCCAGACCCTACTCTGTCGGCCTCTAGCGGCCCGACAGAGTAGGGTCTGGGTACGAGAATGGGATTGATAGTCCAAGAGCCGTTCTAGGACAATTGACTCGTCACTTTGTAGTGCACGTGACTATTGATCGTTTTCACTCATTCCCATGAGATTCACAGACCGGCGGCCATGTTCTACGAATAAAAAATATAGATACTARTGAGAAATCMTTAAATCTCCTGCAAGATGGCCGATGTGACGTAGCCTGAAAATGAAGAATCGTACCGAGATTTTTGTTTCTGGAATTTTTTCTCCGCGTCCCAAAAATATTTGCGACCACATGCATCCGGATATCTCAAATAATACTCAACAACTCATGCACACTAAATGCTATGATGTCAAAGTACCCAAAACTATCCGGATAGGACTGTCCACAAATCGTACACAGAAATTATCAATTGAGTGAATTGTAATTGGTGAATAGTGACCTACCAAATAGCCGACTTGCCAAGTACAAATCAGTAGTCTGAAACACAAACGAATCAAGACGGATGCGCCGTGCAAAAAGCTCAGCCAACTCACGACTTTACATACTCAGGTCTAGTAACCATGAACAAAGCATTGAACCGAGGCGTCAAGGTACAGTGAGCAGAAAAGAAAAGATCTGTGCTCAGTGTACCCTGACGCCTCGGTTCAATGTTTTGTTCGTAGTCACTGAACCTGAGTATGGAAAGTCGTGAATCGTGAACAAATATATATTAAGGAATAAGCACCACGGCACCGTCTTGATTCCATTGTGTGCGACTAAAAATCATTAAGCAATAGCAAACACCGGTAATGCATATCAACTTGATAAGGTTCCTTTCAGTGATGCAATCTCCAGTTTTCCGCAAACCTTCCAAGGTGGAATTCGCATTGCTCAGCAGCAAAAATACATAGCGGTTATACAACGTTTGAGTTCTTCATAAGTGTGAATACTAAGATTTTCCAGCTTCAGGACCAAAGAAGTCCCCATAGGCGGAACACTCCTTGACGGTGACTGTACCTCTATCAGTCGTAACGTCTGTGATGATGATACTATTGGCGAGAAAATCAAAATGCGATGATTTAGAGAGTACACTCTTTTTGTCCTGTTGTTTTGGCTGATGTTCCAAGACTTTGTGATCTTGCAGCGTATGATCTTCCCGAATTGATACAGTGCTCGTGTCGGGTGATTTTTGAGCAGGCGGGGATTCTGCCTTGACAGGTATACAATCGCTAAGGTTGACTGCCGAACTTGTTGGTTCAGCCACGGACGAAATCGCAGGTTCGGCTCTTGTCGAGGGCGGTGGTTCCTCTTCGGTAACACTCTCTACTGGATTCACCTCTGAGCTCTCTCCGACGTCTTCATTTGGTTCACAAGGYGCCTCTTCCTGGGGCGTTTCCAAGGAGACGTCGTCAGTCGACATAGCGGCTTGTGATGTTTCTTTCGTTTCTGTATTCTCTTTGTCGCATTCGATGGGACTCGTTGCAGTTTCCGCATCATTTCCTTTGCGTCGTTTCCGACATTTTTTCGTTACATCAGTGATTTGTTGGTCGGCTGACGTACTCTGGCCCTCGTCACGTGACTCATCGTCATCAACAGCGGTTTCATTAGAGCTATCATTACCTTCGACATCAACGTCTAGCTCGGACTTTTCTTCAGGTTGCTATGGAAATAAAGAAGAAAGTGATTAAAATAATCCTAGATTTTTTTCTCGTCGTGCACAATTAGGAAACGTTTGAATTCATTAGTTCGGATTCGGGATTCCTCTTGTTTTATCGTGTTCYGCCTTTSGATTTCAGCGCGTTCTGGATTCCACGTATCTGGACCCCGGACTTAACAGCCGCTATTTTGATTCCGGTTCATAGGGTGACTTGCAATTTTGAATTTTATCCGTTCAGAAGCTATTGTAGCCTGTATTCCTAAACAGCTAAAGTTTAAGCCTTCTGGGAACACAACGGCATAGCTTAAAATAAAAATGCAAATCATGTTTCAAGGTTTCTTGTTTTAGGAGTTTTTTTTGTGGAAGTGAGTCATATACACCTTTTTGTTTTATCATATTAAGCCATCATAGATCAATCGGTATACGAAATCATCATAAACCTAACAGAACAGCCCTTACCGACTTTCATATAGACTGGTGCTGATTCTGAATCCATATAGTTTGAAACAAACAAGAAACAGAGCCCAAGACAAGAAAAAGCACGCAAAAATTCAAGTTTAATCGTATTCCGACCAATACTTACAGAGTGCAAGCAACTCGAAAAAATAGCAAAGAATGTGTGTGATTCTTGCGAAGCCATACGCAAAAACAACACCAATTCTCCTTTCTTTTCGTAAAATTCAAAAAGTTAACACTTATCGTGGTATTGTCTTTCATATTGCGAGGTTCAGTTTTCGATAAGTGAAGTATTTTGAATTCATACTTTTTTCCAGCCCCTGTTGAATGTCAAAAAGGCCAAGTATGGCTAAAAGCATATTATTTGCAGCCCTCTCTACCAGCATTTTTCATAAGAAAAAATGRAGATAYCGGAGGGATTAGTTACGTCTCGAAGCTGTTATGAGGCTCATTCCCAGGGGGGGAGAAACCTGAGAACTACATGTAGCTCATAACAGCTGTGAGCAGAAACTACGGACTTACAAGGTAGTAAGAAAAATGTTGAAAACTGAGTTTWTTCACAAATAAAAGCATATCTATTATTAGTGTACAGCAAACAAAATGTCCCTTTAATTACTAGTTATTTTTAATCAATAGTATGTACTTTTTAAAACATGACTGCCAAAATAAGGATGATACAGGCTTTGAAACCCTAATGGCTGAATCCAAGTTTTGCTTGATAGCCATGCAATAGGAGAGAAACACTTCATTTTCAAATTCAAAGAAAATGACGGCTGTTTTAATCGACAGCAGATTTTCTTACACAAAGAAATTACCAAACACAMAAGAAAGCACATGAAAACGTTGTAATTCATTAAAGTAAAGGAGACAATTTACATTTTCCCTGAGTTGAGGCTAATATTGTATTCTGAGAAGGCTTAAAACCTTATGTCTTATACGAATACAGGGTTAGTATCAACTTAAGGAAAATTCAAATTTTCAAGACATTTCTCATGCATTTGGTAAGGTCACTGAGCAAGAGAATTCTGTTGTCAAATAAAGTAAAAGTTTTTTGCTTTGAATTTGAAAATGGAGTATTATGAAAATGTGATAWAAGTTGAGTTTAAGATTCTGTGTAAATCATTTTAAATGTCCAGCCATGTGCACTAGATATGTCAAGTTTCATTTTTTTTTTTAATTCTCGTTAGTTTCATCATTCAAACTTTTATAGTTATTCAGTTACCTTAAGGTAACCCAAATTTAATCTGGTTTAGCTACATTAATGAAAAATAATCTCTAATCTTGAAACTTTTAGTACTCATTTCATACCCAGGAAATGTAAAATCAAAGGCTCTGGTTTGAGATGATACAGTTAGCCCCAGACTGTTGATGAATGGGAAATTTTGAGCCAATCAAATCAAAGACACATTTATTCCCAACATAAGCCTTTGAGTAAATGATAAGGATCTGGGTATGAGAATGGATAGTAGAGTGATCGCACTTAATCCGTTCAACTGTACAAACTAAATAGTTATATCTAGTTGTATTTAGTAAATCATGCATGCGGTATGCAAATTAAATGGAATTCATACAAATGAAGCATTCAATACAATCTTGTTTCAGCACAGGCAACCCAAGCAGAGCATACAAAATTTTTTTCTAATAAAATCATGTTACCTTCATCATGTGTTCTTGATGTTATTTAACATTGCTGTGTGTGGTTTTGAAGGGATTTAGACCTATTTTATAAAAAATATCACCCTCAGTAGTAAAAGACTACAAGGCTGGTTACAGAGCGTCCACACCACTCGTCTTTAATAGCCGAAAAAAATATCTTAAATCCATCTTTTGCCTCCAAAATACCCTCAGCGGCATGTCTCTAGGATCCTTCTATCCAGAATTGGGCAA